CCAGTTACCATGGCAACCGGGCGGCGCCTGAGCGCGCGGGAAGCAGGCTTAAATCGGTAGAGAGGGCCGGCCTGCTTGGTCCTGGAGACTTTCCACCTCCGCTCTGGGCCCTCGAGGCCATGGGTCGGGTCTCCGGGCTCGTGCCCTCTCGGTTCCTGACGCTCTTGGCTCATCTGGTGGTTGTCATCACTTTATTCTGGTCCCGGAAAAGCAACATCCAGGCTTGCCTGCCTCTCAAGTTCAGTCCCGAGGAATATGAGAAGCAGGACATCCAGCTGTTGGCAGCGCTCTGTCTCACGATGGGCCTCTTTGTGGCGGAACTGGCGGGCTTCCTCTCAGGAGTTTCCATGTTCAACGGCACCCAGCCTCCTCTGTATCCTTTCTGCCTGCCCAGCATTCCACCCTTTGCACTTCTTCAGACCTTAAGGGCACAAGCTGTCTTTCTGCCCGGCTCACCAGGAAAGCAACATCCAGGCTTGCCTGCCTCTGCAGTTCACCCCCGAGGAATATGAGAAGCAGGACATCCAGTGAGCTCCCGGGTTGGGGTGAGAGCGCAGGGGTCCCCAAAAGGCTTCCGAGGAAGCCCTGATCAACCCCTTTGTTTTCTGCAGACTGGTGGCAGCGCTCTGTCTCACCCTGGGCCTCTTTGCGGTGGAGCTGGCCGGCTTCCTCTCAGGAGTTTCCATGTTCAACAGCACGCAGAGCCTCCTCTGTATCCTTTCGGCCTGCCCAGCGGTCCAGTCTTCCCACCACTTCAGACCTTTTGGGCACAAGTCTCTGCACAGGTGGCAAACCGAACCTCTCTAGGTGAGGGGTCTTAGTCAGTATGGGGAATTTATAATAGTCTTCAAGCACTTGTTAAACCCTGTTATGAACCAGGTTCTGGCGATACCCAGATGAGAGTAACCCCCGCCCCCCATTAACGGGGAGGAAGAAACACCATGCTGGAGAGTGTGCAGAATACAAAGCAATTTGAGAACTCAGAAGGAACCAAGAAAATGAAGCACACAAAATAAGGTTTTTGATGGCCAGATGTGATGCCACAGGCCTTTAATCCTAGCACTCGGGAGGCAGGAACAGGTGAATCTCTGAGTTGGAGGCCAACCTGGTCTACAAAGTGAATTCCAGGACAGCCATTGCTACACAGAGAAACTGTATCAAAACAAAACAAAACAAAAACAAAACAAAAAAGGAGGAGGAGGAGGCTCTTGACTCTTGAACTGTGGACAAGGAGGACCAGGCACTGGAGAGAGTTCTGCAGTGTATCAGGCCTGTAAGTATTTTTGTGGGGCCTAGGGTTTATGTGATATAAACCTCCCCAGACATATGTGGTGTTGCCCTAGATATGTAGAAGGGGTCAGTCCCTTTTGTTTGTTTTTTTGTTTTGTTTTTGAGACAGGGTTTCTTTGCATAGCCTTGGCTGTTCTAGAACTGGCTTGTAGGCCAGGCTGCCCTTGAACTCGTAGAGATCCTCCTGCCTCTCCAAGTACTGGGAATTAAAGTTGTGCACCACCACCTCCCAACTGAGCTCTGGCCCCTTAAGAGTAACTGTCCACAAATTCAGAAGGCATGGCTGCCAACTCTGGCACTTGCTTTATGAGAAGGAAACAAGAAATGAAGCCAGGGCCAGATACCAAAGGGGCCCATCACTCTCTGTTAATTTCCTTGACTCTGCTGTGTTTTCAAGCCATTGCAGCCCACTGTAGCGCATCTGTGGCCCTGTCTTTCTTCATATTCGAGCGATGGGAATGTACCACATACTGGTACATTTTTGCTTTCTGCAGGTGCCGTAGCCGATGTTTTAGAATAGGGTGGGGGTGGAAGGTCTACCCTAAATCTGAAGACATCCTCCCCCGCCAGACCTTTCCTGCAGCTGTGAAATCAATAGTGTTTTGAAGTTTCATACCCATCCCCAAACCCAGTCCCATATACGGTTTGGAGGTTGGGGTATTTGTGTTGGAAGGGGCCTTGAACCCACCCCCTACTTTTCACAGCGCCTTCCCAGCTGTCACTGAAACGGCATTATTCATCGCTGTCTTTGGGCTGAAAAAGAAACCTTTCTGAACACGACTCGGGCGTAGGGACCAAGCCTGGAAAAGTGATGAGCTTCCTCCGGTTGGTGGAAGAAGAAAGGCCTCAGTTTTCTCTCTCCCAACTGCTTCTAAACAGAGGATGGCAGTATTGGGATAAGATCTCTCAAATCTTGGGTTATAGTTATTAGAGCATTGTTTTTTTTTTTGTTTTTTTTTTTTTGTTTTTTTTTTTTTGGTTTTTCGAGACAGGGTTTCTCTGTGTAGCTTTGGTGCCTATCCTGGCACTCGCTCTGGAGACCAGGCTGGCCTCGAACTCACAGCAATCCGCCTGCCTCTGCCTCCCGAGTGCTGGGATTAAGGGCGTGCACCACCAACGCCCGGCTATAAGAGCATTGTTAATAAAATGCATTTTATAATAAAAGCTAGGCTGATACTATTTTTCAGAAGACATCTGGGTGGGCCAAGAATCTGGTGTAAAAAAAAAAAAAAGGCTTTTATTCTGGTCTTACTATTCGTGAGCTCGTAGGTGATCCTTCTATTTGGATTTTTACGGTACAAGATAGACGGAAGTAAGTGGGCGGGGATATGTAAATAAGCACCGCATTTAGGCTTTCTAGCTTGCCGTATGTGAGCGGAGCATTCTGGGAGGATTTTATTTCTCTTTTTTTGGCCCGGAATGGAAAATAATTTATACTAAGTGATTTGCAAATAGATATTACTCTAGGGTTTCAAGAACCCTGAATCAGTGGATTTGTATTAAAACTGTCACATTCTCACCCTTGCTTTAACCGGAAATATCTCTCCCTAATAAGGAAAGGGCTCGCCACGTTTTTTATCGTCAGGAGGTTAATCCTTACCTGTTCCTCCTTTTGGAGGGCAGATAGAAAATGATGATTGGAGCTTGCATGATTTGCTGATTAGCATTTCCGTGCAATCAGGACCTGACAACATCCTGGTTGCTCCTCTCTGATTCTCTGACGATCACACTTTTTAATTGTGTGGTAATTGATAGAACTCTATAAGAAGTCTCAGGGAACGTACCACTGCCGCGTTGGTCTTGGCTGTCTTTCTTAGTAACTATATACCATGCTCAGATTTCTGTGGCAGCAGTGCGGTTTTCAACTAGTGGGAAACCTGATTGGTGGTTATTTAGTATCTATCAGAGCCCTCAAATCTTTCGGTAGTCTTGGAGAAGGCCGCCATTCCTGCTCGACTTTACCAAGACATAGTCTTACCTCTGTGACCTACATTCATTCAATAACCTAACCATAGGCAAAACACTGTTAATAATAATAGTGAGGGAAGAGATGAGATTTGACCCACACTCAGCTTTGGGAATACAGAGGCAGGAAAGAAACACTCTTCTAGTACTCCCAGAGTTTTTAATCTTGTAAATTGTGGTACATGCTACCAAAAAAAAAAAAAAAAATGTTTCTTGGCAACACTTAAAGTTATAACCTGAGAGCCACCAAAATACTCAGGTATTGCTGAGAAACTTGAGTACAACTCGAAGAAGTTTACACCCTTGCATATGTCTTACTGAACGTGGAGAAAAAATTGCTTTTTCAGGAACTTTACTGACAGGTTGCCAAATATAACTGTTATTTAAATTTAAATTTAAACAGTGTGAACTTGCAATTAAGTAGGTTATATTTGCGCTGGAGGTACAGCTCACTGGTAAGTGCATACTTGCTATGCTATGCCCTGGGTGAAATCCTCAGCATCAAAAACAAAAACAAAAAAACTTAACAAATGAATAAATGGATGAGTGAATAAGATATGAGAGGAGGAAAGGGTAGTAATAAAGAGCAGGAATATGATTAACGTATGTTACATACATGCATAAAAATGTCACAGTGAAATCCATTACTTTGTGTAAATAAGCTAAAGAAAAGTAAAATAGCCTGGTGTGGTGCTGAGCTCTTTTAATGCCAGCACAAAGGGGCAGAGGCAGCTGGACCTCTGTGAGGATGAGGCCAACCAGGCCTACATGACAACTTCCAGGCCCTCCAGAGTTACATAGTGTGAGACCCCATTTTAAATTAATTAATAATTTTAAAATGTAGAACTGGGCAATGGTGGCACAGCCACACCTTTAATCAGAAGCCAGAGGCAGGCGGATCTCTGAGTTTGAGGCCAACCTGGTCTACAGTGAGTTTTAGAACAACCAGGGCTGCATAGAAAACCTGTCTTGAAAAACCAAAACAATATGAGTGTTTTATCTGCATGTATATATGTCGACAATGTGTGTTCCTATGGAGGCTAGGAGAGGGCAATAGATCCCTTAGAACTGGAGCTATGGGTTGTTGTGAACCACACCATATGGGTGCTAGAATCCAAACCCAGTTCCTCTGTAAGAGCAGTGAGTGCTTTTAACCACTGACCATCTCTCCAGCTTCAACTTAGACTAGAATAATGAAAAACAAGCCAAAACAAACAAACAAAAAACATAACCACTATAGCTCTTCTCTTGTGCTCTGGAACACTGAAGTTCTTCTTGTCCTACTAGCCCTGACTATATTCATTGTTCATTCTCCATCTCTCTCATAGACATCCCTTTGTAAGTTGAATAATACCCCACTGTACATATGTACCATATTCCGTTGACCCATCTTCTGTGACTGAACACTTGGGATGTTTCTCCTTTGGTTTTCATAAATGATGCGCTGTAGTTGTGAGGGTATACATATCTGTTTTCAGTTCTTTTGGAAACACACATAGACAGAGGTATTGCTCAGAGGTACAGTTCTTGCCTGACTTACGGGAGATTCTACATACACTTACACACATACATATAAATAAAAATAAAACATATATGTGTGACTCCCAACTTGGTGCATTTTTCTTTGTTTTGTTTTCCAACACAGGGTTTCTCTATATAACTGCTCTAGCTGTCCTGGAACTCAATTTGTAGACCAGGCTGGCCTTGAACTCTCAGAGGTCTGCCTGCTGAGTGTTGAATTAATCACTGGATCGGGGCATATGGGATCCCGTTCTTGGCCAGGTTTATGCCACTTGGTCACCCCTGAAGTAAAAAGAGGATTAGGAAGGAGTGACTGTCAGCCTCTTACTGAGCATAAAGACTAAGAATGGGGCATTGCAAAAAGTCTAGAAAGCTACTAACATCACAGCAAAACAAAAAATCTGTTTCTGATGCTAACTGGTAAGTCCTCTAAGTATAGATGAGGGAACTGAGGCAGAGGGAGGGTGGATGACTTTTGGTGGGGGGGAAAAATCTGGTTCAGAGCTGCTGCTCCACAGTTACAGAAAAACCAGAAGCATCTAGTTGGTATTTAAGGACTAGAGAGGAGACTAGGGGTGGGGGCTAAGGATACACCTCAGTTGGGAGAATGCTTACCTAGCATGCACGTGACCTGAAGTTTTGTCTCCAAGGCCACAAAAACTGAGCATGGTAGAGCAATCCTTCCTGTAATCCCAGTACTTGGGAGATAAGAGATAGGAGGATCAGACAGACATTCAAGGCCATCTACACAGCAAGTTCCAGGCGGTGTGGAACATCTGAGACCCTTTCTTAAAAAAATAAATAAATATGTGTGGCCACACACATCAAACATACCAAATAAGTCAATAAAATGTAGTGAAGAAGTAGCCGTAGTGCCAGGTGGCGGTGCCACTGGGAATGCTATGAAGTCCTGAGTTTAATCCTCAACTTGCACAAAGGAGGAAGAGGAGGAGGAGGAGGTAGCAGTAGTCAGCAAAGAGATAGTGCTCACCAACACTGATCTAATGGGCGGGTGGCAGCATAACAATGCTAACACTCTGGACTAGCCTGCACTAATGTTACCTCTGACTCTGCCCTCCCCCCCTTTTTTTCTTTTTGAGGAAAGGAGGATCAATGTTGGGATCAAGATGTTTACCACCATGCCAGGCTTCTATTACCTCTTTTTAAATTTTATTTAAATTGGGGGGAGAACCAGCTCATGTTTAATTGTGGTATTTTTAATTTGTACAAGTTTTTGGCACCTCCCTCCCCTATATAGTCTCTTTAAATTACAGGAAAACAACACCAAAAAATATGGACTGCTTCAGGAATGTGTGCGTCATTCTTCGCAGGGGCCATGTTAATCTTCTTTGTATCCTTCCAGTTTTAGCATACATGCTGCTGAAGTAAGCACTTATAAAATGCTACAGCCAGTGTATGTAAAATAGTCATCTCCTTGTGAAACAAATCCATCAAAGCTCAGAGAGGTAGATGTGATGAACTGACAAGCAGGAATGTTTTTCAGAGCACACGTGTTACAGGAAGCTTTGTACAGACTTCACACTTAGTTTTCTTAAACCCACTACTTCATAAAAGTGCTTTGAGAAACCTTTGAAAGATTTGCACAAAAAGGAGCAGAGGAGAATGCTGAGCCCTCACTCAGCAGGCAGAACTGTTTCAAGCCTGCCGCTGCCTGGGGAACCTTCTCAGGTTGAGCTGCGCCTCCACTCTGAGCCTTGGAACCACCACCCTCTTCATGGTCTTGATGCTGGAGGAACCCAGCATGGAACCTCCAGAGCTGGGCCAACTTGTTCATCCCTACAAGGAGCAGCAAGGTCCTCTGGTCTCACTATGTAGCCTTGGCTGACCTTTACCTGTGCACTCCTGCCTCTGCATCCTGAGTGCTGGAATAAAGATGTGCATCACCAAAACCCCGGCTTCATTTGTTAACATTTGAGACAGGGTCTTACTATGTAGCCCTAGCCAGACTAGAACTTGCTATATAGATGATCTTTCCAATAATTTCAACTCTTGGGATTATTTTTTAATATTTTTTGTGATTCATTATCAGGAAATGTTTGATTGGTATATCTATTTTATATACATATACACCAGAGCCGTGTCTTAAAATTTTGGGGGGAAGAAACTTTAAGAATCCCTGCAATAGGTGGATCTCTGAGTTCCAGATCAGCCTTATCTACAGAGTGAGTTCCAGGACAGCCAATGCTACACAGTGAAACCCTGTCTCAGAAAAAAAGAAGGAAGGAAGGAAGGGAGGAAGGGAGGAAAAAGAATCCCTGCTTTAGTACATGGCCTCTGGAACATTTGAAATAGCTCTATCTTACGAGGCTGCTGTGGTGGGTGCCTCTCAGTGTTCAGGAGACTGAGACAGAAGGGTTGCTTGAGTTCAAGATCAGCCTACATCAAACCTCAAACACACATACATGCATACCCACATTCAAGAAAATAATAACTTTAAATATTTTTTATTAATTTTAATTATGTGTATGTGTTCACATGTGTGTGCTTTAATGAAGGTGCCTTCAGAGGTCAGAGGCATTGGATCCACCAATCAAGAGTTACAAGCAGTTACAAGCCCCCACTGTGGGTGCTGGAAATCCAATTTTGTTCTCCTGAAAGAACAGCAAGTGCTCTTAACTACCAAGCCATCTTTCCAGCCCCCAATATTTTTTTTAGTTAAAACAAAGGAGGCTGAACTCATATATCCATCATGGAAACAAAGAGACAAAAAAAAACCAACAACAAAAACAAAAACAAAAACAAAAACAAAGAAACCCTATGACAGAGTTGAAATGGAAAAACTATTAGCTTTCTGTCATCTTTCAGACTTCTGGGTCCTTCTATCTACATTCATCCTTCCTTATCATCTATATTGCCCTTTCTTTGTCCTGGTCCTAAATTGTAGACAATTCTTTTTATTTTCCCATCCCAAAAGAATTGACTTTTGAGGACCGGGCTGTGGTGGCAGCTGCACACACCTTTAAAACTAGCACTTGGGAGGCAAAGGCAGGTGCATAGATTAATATAAATGGGTTAAAGTATAAGCTAGTTGAGATAAGCCTAAGTTAAAGCCTGAGTCTTCAAAATTAATAAGAAATCTCTGTATCGTTATTTGTGAACTAGTGGTACGAGAACACTCGATACAGCAGGTAGATACACTTTCCTGACAACCTGGGACCCACACAGGGGAAGGAGAGAACCAGCTCTCCAACTTTGACCTGAACTCTTTACTAACTGATAATTGATTGGCCAACATTACCCTCTGCCCTTGCAGGTGTGGAAAATGCTGTTCATTATACTATGCTGTCTTTGTTCTTCCTTGGAGCTTTATCACAGCAGAGAGTTAGCCCTATCCCAGTCACCAGGTGTGGTTGCAATCTTTCTTAGTTACCTCATCCTTAGCTCCTTGTTTGTCAGGCACAGGAGGTGGTATCCTAGGTGGAATCTTCTTATCAGAAGCCATCTTTATGGTTTAATCTGTTCCAATTAGCTGCATCAGGCCGGGCAGTGGTGGCGCACACCTTTAATCCCAGCACTTGGGAGGCAGAGGCAAGTAGATCTTTATGGGTCTGAGGCCAGACTGGTCTACAAAGTGAGTACCAGGACTGCCAGAACCACACAGAGAAAGCCCGTCTCAAAAAACAACAGACAAACAAAAAGACCACGTAGCTACAAGAGTATATGGAAGGACACAGTGTCCTACTTAGGTTCCTCAAGCACTTTGTGGTGGGGAGGGACAGCTGCCTTTGTCGTTGGCCGGAGCCTTGTCCTTGCACAGCCAGCTGCAAATTCTTTTACCCATCCTCCTCAGTGCTCCTATCCATCCTCCTCAGTGCTCCTATCCATCCTCCTCAGTGCTCCTAATGCTGCCACTTTAAGCCCTAAGCTCCTTTAACTCCAGCTTCTGTTCTCACTGCTATACACCTGAGCAGCTTGCCCCTTTCACTGTGGGCCCTTCTCCTTCACTACCTACAGAGAGCTAGCTCTTTCTCACTAGAACTTGGGAGGCTAAGGCAAGAGGATACGAAGTCCAAGACATGTCTGAGCTTCATAGGGAAACCCCACCTCAAAACAAGTCAATGTTCAAAGGTGCTTTCGATTTTTTTTTTTTTTTTTTTTTGCTTGTTGAGAGAGGGTCTTACTATATATCTTTGGCTGACCTGGAACTTGATATATGTAGACCAGGCTGGCCTTGAACTCACAGAGATCCACCTGTCTCTGCCTCTGAAGTGTTGGGATTAAAGGCTCTCAGATTTAGTTCTTTTTTTAAGATTTATTTTTAATTATTTGTATGTGTCTGTGTATGCACATGTGCATTTGAGTGCGAGTGCCCACAGAGGCATTGGATCTCCTGAAGCTGGAGTTCCAGGTGGTTTCCAACTGCCAGATGTGGGTGCTAGGAAGTGAACTGGAGACCAGGCTGGCCTCGAACTCACAGAGATCCGCCTACCTCTGCCTCCCGAGTGCTGGGATTAAAGGCGTTCGACACCAACGCCCGGAACTCAGTTCTTTTTGTTTTTCGAGACACGGTTTCTCTGTGGCTTTTTGGAGGCTGTCCTGGAACTAGTTCTTGTAGACCAGGTAGGTCTAGGAACTCACAGAGATACACCTGCCTCTGCCTTCTGAGTGCTGGGATTAAAGGCGTGCGCCACCAACGTCCGGCTTTGGGCATGATTCTTAATTGCTAATTGACATAAGAGGATCTGGCTCACTGTGGGCAATGCCACCACGGGCAGATGAGCGTAGGCTCTTTAAGAATACTGGCTGAGAATGACACAGGGAAGCAAGGCAGTAGGCAGTGGCCCTCTGGTCCTTGTGGTTTCTGCTTCAGTTCCTACCACCAGGTTCCCACCCTGGTTTTCTTTCATAATGGAGTGAAGCCTATAAGGTTTCATAAACTCTGTCCTCCACAAGCTCAGTGTTGATTAAAGCAACAGAAAGCAAGCTAGAGCAATCAATCCTCCTGCCTTCTGATAGCTGAGATTACAGGTGTTTGCAGCCACACTCAACTCTGGGGAGTTTTTAAAATAAATTTTGAGTAGATTATATATTTATGCATAAATATATGATTTATATTTGTGATAAGAGATATAAGAGAATACTATAAAAGAATACTGGCACATTTAACTGTACAAGAAAGTTGGGATGGGGTATAGCTCAGTGGTAGAAGGCATGCTTAGGATACACTAAATTCTGAGCCTAATTCTTAGTTCAAAACATTAACACTCTGCACAGTAGCTGGTGATGGTAGTGCATTCTGATAGCTCCGGAGAGTGAGGCAGGAGGATTACAAGTTTGAAGCCAGTCTAAGAGACTTGGGTGACACATTGTCAATAAAAACAAGCAAACATATAGCAACAAAACTTATGCATAGTAAAAAAAAAAAGGCAAAAGTTAAAAGCCAGATGATACTGTTGAGAAAATATTTGTAAATCATTTTTAGAGAAAAAGTTAATGCTGACATAAAAATCTACAGATCTCTAAGAAAAATACAAAAAACTTAAAAGCATACAATAATTTTTGTTTTTTTGAGACAGGATTTCTCTGTGGCTTTGGAGCATACAATAATTTTATAGGCATTTCACAGATAAGGAGAGTTAAAAGAACTATTAAACATGTGTAGTGGGCTTTCTTGGGCCACCAGCCCCCAAATCATGACAGAGACTTATTATTAATTATGAATGCTCAGCCTTTACTTAAAATTGTTTCTAGCTAGCTTTTTATTTCTCATCTTACTTAATCTACCCATTTCTATTAATCTGTGTGCTGCCTGGGGCTCATTTATCTCATCTATGTGCTGTCTGTCTGGGCCCTTGCTGTCTTTCTAGGCCCTTGGCTGGCTCCCTTTTCTCTCTGCTCACCAGCCCCTCCTATCCCCCTTCTCTGCTTAGCTATTGGCCATTCTGGCCCCCCCCCCCACCTTCTGCTTTTTATTAGACCAATCAGTTGCCTTAGGCAGGCAAGGTAAAACTGCAACACTGTCTTTACATAGTTAAACAAATGCAGCATAAACAAAAGCAACACACCTTACATAATTAAACAGATGCAACACATCTTTACATAGTTCACAAATATTCTAACCCACAACAAACATGTGAAAAGGTCTCATATCATCCACCCTATGAGAAATGAAAACTGTGTTTAGTTAATATGTTTATTTATGGCTGAGGCTGGGCGGTGGTGGTGCACTCCTTTAATCCCAGCAGAGGCAGCCGCAGGAGGATCTCTGTGAGTTCGAGGCCAGCCTGGTCTACAGAACAAGTTCCAGGACAGACTCCAGAGCTACAGAGAAACCCTGTCTCAAAACAAAACAAACAAAAAACCCAACCCAAAACAAAACAAAAAAATGTTTATTTTTAAGATTTATTTTTACTTATGTGTATGTCTATGTCT